GGAAAGAGGAGGGTAGGGTGTTATGGTGATATTGTGCAATCATAACACATCAGTTTGAATGTTGTGTTTTATATTAAATATTGGTGAAGTGGTCTATTTAGACATGCAATAATATTCTGAGCATATAAACTAATCTGTTCAACTCCTCTGCCTCTTGTTTGTTGCTGATGCAAATACACAGTTGAAGTGGAAACTTGATTAGCCCTGTGGGTAGCAGTACACTTGCATCCTTTGTGCCCACTCGCCAATGCGTTTGTTTGTTTGTTTGTTTGTTTGTTTGTGTGTGTGTGTGTGTGTGTGTTCAGGATGCATTCAGTCTGCTGGCATACTCAGACCCCTGGAACTGCCCCGTGGGCCAGCAGTTGGACCCCATGCAAAGAGAGGCGATCTGCTCCGCTCTCAACAGTGCTATTCTGGGTAAGGCTGCTTGGCTGGCTGAGATCATACACTACTAAGTTCTGTGAACATGATCGCTTATGTAGGCCTTTTAATTTACATGTGGCTGCAGTAACATGAGACCGATAAAAGAGCTTGTAATGGTCTGGTAACATGGCCATGAGTTGTTATTATCATTCCTAAATATTTAATGGTTTTAATGGCCTCATATCTGTGATCTTGTCCTTCATTCAGAGTCTCAGAATCTGCCCAAACAGCCTCCACTCATGCTGGCTCTGGGTCAGGCCACCGAGTGCGTGCAGCTGATGGCCAAGGTTCGCTCTGGTTCCTGCTCCTTCGCCAGAGTCGACAACTTTTTGCACTAGCACCAGTCCAGACAAGAGCACCAAGGTAATTATAGTTTTAAAAAACACTATATCTTTATTTTTTTATACAGGAATTTGATTGTAAAATTCAGTTTAGTTTATTCATTTAGTTTGTTTTAATTCAAGGCAAAATTATTATTATTATTTTTTTTTTATTATTATTCATTTTATTTGCATTTTAATTTTAATTCAGTGTAATTTTTCAGTTTTCATCCCTTTTAACATGGGAACATAAATCATTCTGTATATAACAAGACACACTTTATCAGAAAATGTGAAATGTAATTAGTGGGTGGTTGGTTTTCTAACGTTTAGCAAGATTAAGTAAATCAGACAGTGCTGCATGAATAAATAATATAAAAATAAAGTTAATTTCTCTGTAATTTTATTGAATTTTTGTTTATTTTTTATTGCACTTTTATAAGTCTGATTTAGTGTTTGTTCTTCTAGTGTTTGTTAAATTTACCTTTTATTTTTACTTTATTTAAATTTTTTCCACTTGTAGTTTTATTTTAATTCAGTATAATTTCAGTTTTTCATTCCTTATCCACTTTATTTTTAACATAAGAGCAGGTGTGGCTATTTGTAACTTGAATGTGTAAGGCTTCCAGGGTCATTTGCTATTTTAGCAGTACAAAAACAGTGTAATGCTGCTTTATATTGCAAACTGTGATATTGTCATATTATTTTAACATTATTATAATCAAAAACAAACTGGTTTGTAGCACAATCAGTTTTACAGGTTACTACACGTTGTTATTCTGCTAGTTATTTGCCTACTAATGAATCAAATGTCTTGCACATTCAAGGTGAATGATATACTATGACAACTAAAGTACATTTTTTTGTAATTTTATTCAATTTTTGTTCATGTTTGAATACACATTTATAGGTCTTGTTTAGTGTTCATTCTTTTGCAAAATCACTTTTGTTTTACTTGGCCTCTTTTTCCGCTGCTGTTTATTTATTTATTAAATATTCCAGTATTTCTGTTGTCCATGTTAAAAACGTAACATTTGTATTTCCCTCAGGCAGTGTTCGGGACAGCTAAGCGGAGGTCTTTCCAGTTGGTTGCCATAAGGAGAACACGCGTTTGAATTGGTGTGTCGCTTGCCGTTTGCCAGAAGCAGCCGAGCAGAATGAATAGAAACATGAGAAGAGAGGCTTCTTTTTAATTTAGTATTATCAAATACAAATTGTGTGACACTATTTAAAGATAATTAATTATTCTGTTTATCTAGTCATTTTTATTTTAGTTTATATTTTGTCCGTTTGTTGTGCTCATCTTGAAACAAATCAACTTCCCAAACTATTTTTTTTTTCATGGGTGAATTCAGTGCATAGTATTTCAAGCGTACCATATCAACAATATACATAATGGTAAGTTCCTACTGAAAATTTGAGCTACGCACTCTGGTTTTTCTCAGTCAGAGCTCAGGTATTTAGACATCGTCAGAGCGGGATGTTTGCGGACACAGGTGTCGCTTCACCAGATCATACTGTGGGTTTTTAAGCAGGTCCTTTTCTATGTACAAGCCAATTCTGTTTTTTTTTTTTTTTAATTTGGTCAACCTTAACAGCCCCTTTAGCAATTAAATGGACGTTGGTGTTGCGCATATGTGAATTAAGCGTGACTTTACGATGTTTTTGTGCGAGAGGGTGAGATAATGCATGGCTCCTAGCGTCTTTTAAGCTACTTTAGTATCTCAGGCACCAGCACGAGTTTCATTAGACACAATCACACAGTGAGGACGCAGACTTGCCTTTGGGTCCAATGTAGATGACTTATATTTTCAACCATAGACCTTTGCCCAAAAATAAATCTATTTTACCAATATTTTACCATCTTTATAGCAGTGGGTATCGTGCAAATGTCAACCCTCACTTTTTTTAAGTTTTAAGTTAGGTATATTGAAGTTAACAAGTGGTTTTCTGATTTTTGTGGCTGTACCAAATAAAAACGCAATGCTTTTGACAAAAGAAAATTAAGGTCAGTAGTTTGATTACTGAGAAGCTCCACTGAAACTTGCAGACTAACTTTGTATACGAAGTCTGTACGTTTTATACCCATGTGAATAGTGTCACCGTGTTGATAGTTCTGCTGTTAGATTAACAACTACAAACTGACACCGTTTCGACTTCTGTTGTTTTATTAGTTGTTAAGTACTGTTGTTCAAGTTTCTTACCATTGGATGCACTGTACTTCAATTAATGCACATGATGCATTACTGTATCTGTCTACCTCTCCTGTTCAGTAATGGAGGGACAGAGTATGAACTTGCAGCATGCAAGACAATTGACTGACCCAGCGTTCCTGCAAATGAACAGAAACAAACAAAAAAAGAAGTATTTATTTAGCACCTAGAACATCTCCTTAAATTGCAATCATCTTTGTTGCTCCAGAATTTCACCTCGACCTCGTGTCAGTGCAGTTGTTTTGGTTTTCCCCTCCTTTAGCAATCTTTTTCTTGGCCTTTGTAAATGTGATGTTAACTGGCTCAGGCGCTTAACACTTTTTATTTCCCATTAGCAGCCTGTGTTTCTTTGTTCTTTCTTTTAATCTGGTTGCCCACGGAGGAAGAACTATAAATCGATCCCATGTCAACCCAGCATTTTACTTGCCAGCATGCCGCCGTGGTGTTGAATGTAGCTTAGCCGATTTTATTTCCCACATTTTTTTGCTGCTGGCCATCATGAGATTGTTACATTCCTGTATCGACACCTGCTTTTGTTCATTTATACCTCATTTACTCTTAGGACAGTGCTGTCTAGCTTGTTGTGTCATGACAGGCGTTTTAACAAGGTATGTGTAGTGCAGGTTGACCTGGCAGAAGTCAGAGGTCACGGGGTCGCTGGAAGGTTGCATTTGCTCCTCAATAGCTAAAATAAACTTGGCCTTCCCAACTCTGGAGTTACATAATGGATATAGTTCGCTAACGCAGAGTAACATCACAGATTACACTGTTTGGAGCCCCACCATTTGTTTTTAGCGGTGTTTATGTGTCAGTCTGATTGTGTGGGGCGGGGATTTTACACATCCTGATCCCAAACGATCTTGTTTTACTGTTTTACGCCGCTAAATGGGTCAATTTGGTTGTTAAATGGTGGTATATTGTTGCATGGGGACATCTTGTGTAACTTTTTACTTAAGTTTGAGTTACAAAATGGCAGTTTATATAGAAGCGCTCCTACTTCTACTGACCTGTACATTGTTGATCTTTTGTCATGGGGCGGCTTTTTAATGCCAAATATGTTTTGGAACTCATCATAATCTAACCACCTATAATGAATATTGTCATTTTAAAATAATCCATCATAGAACTTCTTATTGGCTTTAAATAGGGACCTACGTACATACTGTATATGGAAGGGAAGAGAGTAGCAAAATCTTTGTCGAGATCATCGTAGTCATGTGATGATGTTCCTGCCTCAAAAGACAATGGAGCAGGATGAATGGAATGGAGTACAGCAAGCTGTGCACAATTTACTTCTATTATGATTTTAATTTTATTTGAGTTTTCTTTTAGCAATTGTGAAATGGGTTACCCTCTACTTAGCATGAACCTTTAAAAACCTTTAAAACAACATAAAAAAGAAAAACGACTTAAAAAGAAAAAAAAAAGAGACGTACCTATGTACTGGAAACATGATAAAAAAATATTGTACTCATTTAATTTTGACAGAATTATTTTTATTAAAATACACATCCATGAGCAAATTGTGTCCGTTTTGTATTATTTTGTTGTTCTTATTTCTTCGTATGGAAATTAATATATTGTTCCTGCATCTTTGCAGTAGCTGCATTTTTGGCATATATATATATACATACAATGTTCTTGCATAGATAATCTATTCCTACAAAATACACTTTTTATACCGAGTCCATAAAATGTGTGTGGCTCAGGATCAGATGTGTAAATACTGTTCAGGATCTATTGTAAAATGCTTTCATGCATTGGATATGTTTATTCCTGTCAACTCCATTGAGATATGTGCCTTATTACACCTATATTTGCATGAATTCATTTTGCAGATTGGATGCACTAAAAATGTTTGTGGGGGAAAGACGCAACTGATTAGAGAGACTTGACAGTCGTATTTTATAAATGCATTTGAATCTAACAGAAATATTTATTCTGCGTACTGTATATTGTATATAGGGAAAATAAGAGAATTAATGCACATAGGTGGTTTGATGAGGGAGTGAAAGGTTAATGGTCCATCACATGCAGCAGGTCATTAGTCTTTCTAAGAAGCTGTACCTGGATGATCCTGCACCTTCAGACTTCCTCTTGACCCCTTCTTGAAGATGGGCTGCTTTTCTTGCGATGTTTGGATGTTGAAATACATGGACATCACCTCTGGCCCTTCTGTGAAAAAAATCACATTATCTGTTGGTGTTTAATAAATAATTGTAAGACCATAGCTTGCCATCTTCTTAAACTCAAAACTAAGCTTTAAAGCATGGAGAGCAGTAAATATTTAATGCTCTTTTAATGTGGGGAATTCGTCACATCAAGTTCCTCTTCATAAAGCTCACGGTTGACCACCACAGATCCGCCATCACCCACTGAAACACGGGTCAAGTGATAGTAAATAAGGTAAAGTAGAAGAGAAACACTTTAATTTGAAAGAAAATTTAATTGGCTATTTTTATTATTACTTGAAGCCTTGCCGTCCTTTTATAAATAAGCCTGTCAGCGGGAAGTTGTATGCTGACTTTCCCCTTTACAGGTAGGCTAATATCGGATTACATTTACATCTCTAGATGTAGGTCATAAAAATGACAAAAACATGGCCTTAAGGACATAACTGAAATCAATGTACAACTGAGAGCATTTACGCTTTCACACCTGAAAGGATCGGTTAATCGGTTACCCGGATCATCAGTGATAACCAGTATAACCAGTCTTTCCAAAACAAAACCCTCCGTTGAGCATTTTGCTTAGATTGATGGACTTTCTTTGTGTTTCTGTGCATGTTCATTATGCTGTATCAATTTACAAATGAGCTGTTATGTAAATTTTGCAGGTGAGAATCATGAGAGCCGTAACTATAGAAACAGATTTGAATCGTCACTACCAGCATTAGACAGCAGAGAGTGCCATTTCACACCTCAACCGATGACCGGGGTCCACTAGAGGGCCTCAGTAAACCTCGAATGCCAATATGTCTTATTATATGTATTATTTAAATGACTTTGAATATATAGTTAACATGCCAAAGATATTTGCATACTATATTTAGATAATATGCTACACATTTGCATATTATTTTGTACTTATCAGAAACTCTACAAGCAGTTTACAACTTTGACAAACAAAACTGACAATCTGTCCCCTCAACAGATGTCAGTGGCTTTGAACATTTGTATTGGTTAATTATGGGATTTTGTTGATGTGTTTATTATAAAGTTATAGGCTAGATGAGGGACAAAATTAAGTTCTGAAGAAATGTCAGCAATGTCCAGTTGTGCATGTTTAGACCATCTGTGGAATCACGAAAACAGCTTTTATTTCCTTTAAAAAGGAGCACATTTAGCATGCTGAATTTTGCAATTAATTATGATTATTTTAATGTACTAACAGTCCTAATTTTCTGTTTTAGAAAAAACAACTTTGTTATAATTTTAATAGACATACAAGAGGGGGGAAATCACTAGTCAGAGCGATTACTGATTTCCTGCAATCTGAGAGAAGGTATCACAAATCTAATGTGTCCTTTATATGTAATGCAATAATGCTCAATTTCGTTGTACTGTGGGTGAAGTGCATCCAGCTTCTACATCTTGCTAAAAAAGAAATAACCAGGTTTTTCCATATTTTCTCTGAAATTATAAAGAACATAAACCACAGGTCCCAAAAATTCTATGCATCTATCATTTTGGTTAAATATATGAACTACAAACATTCAAAATACACAAATACTAAAAGACTATAGCGACAAAATATAGATTGATTTGATCATACTAATCGTTGCAAAGTTTCAAGTAAAAATGTACATTTTGTAAAAAGAAAACACATAATTTTAAATACTTTTATTATCTTGATAGAACATTTTATAATCAGCTTATAACATTCACAGTATTGTACACCTTGACCCATCTGATTATAATAAAAACACAAGCATCTAAAAGATTTTAGTTTTGTTTGTGAAACTCAAAAGAAATAGAAACCTCCTTTCCAGAATTCTAATATACATACAAAAGTACAAGAATAAGTCCAGCTTCTACATCTTGCTAAAAAAGAAATAACCAGGTTTTTCCATATTTTCTCTGAAATTATAAAGAACATAAACCACAGGTCCCAAAAATTCTATGCATCTATCATTTTGGTTAAATATATGAACTACAAACATTCAAAATACACAAATACTAAAAGACTATAGCGACAAAATATAGATTGATTTGATCATACTAATCGTTGCAAAGTTTCAAGTAAAAATGTACATTTTGTAAAAAGAAAACACATAATTTTAAATACTTTTATTATCTTGATAGAACATTTTATAATCAGCTTATAACATTCACAGTATTGTACACCTTGACCCATCTGATTATAATAAAAACACAAGCATCTAAAAGATTTTAGTTTTGTTTGTGAAACTCAAAAGAAATAGAAACCTCCTTTCCAGAATTCTAATATACATACAAAAGTACAAGAATAAGAAAAATACTTTCCATATTTTACACATATATAAAATGCTCTTTTTTTATAAAAAAGGGCTCCTAGTGTAGAAAAGTGTCCATCATTTCATATTACTATTTATACATATACATTGACATACACACAAAAAATAATGCTTATGTGGTATTATCGGTGCTCCGGTTGTGTGCTGTTCTATGTAGTTTACATGCCATCACTTTCTCTTTAAAATCCAGCTCTCTCTTCATCTAGAGTATGCCAATAAAACCTATTCAGTTAAATATAGAAAACAAAACAAAGTGACAGTTCACGCTTCTCCATATGTCTCTTGCTATACGTTTCAAATCACCCTCTGGTTTCATTTGTCCTCACTGTCTGCTGTGAAAACCCGAGGCAACGAGTCACTGAGTGTCAGTTATGCAGATGTTACGTCTAGATTGTTCAAATAAACTACATTCTCTTTCAGACTCAAGGCTACCTTGATAAATGTCAGTTCTGTGGCGAAGTAACACCTCATTTGTTTTGCTGATCAAGTTAAACCAGATAATGCTGAGCAGATGAGGCTACACCTTCATGAATCACGCCCATCATTTATGACACGGAAAGACTGGCTTCCTGATTCATTTTATTGGTACCTGCTTCTAACTGAAAATGTAAAACTCAAGATGTCCTTCAAAACATTTGGAATAATTAAAAAATAAATAAATATGTGACCGTGGACCACAAAACATAAGGGTCAGTTTTTTGAAATTGAGATTTAAACATCACCTGAAAGCTGAATAAATACGCTTTCCATTGATGTATGGTTTGTTAGGATAGGACAATATTTGCCTGAGATACAACTGTTTGAAACTCTGGAATCTGAGGGTGCAAAAAACTGTAAATATTGAGAAAATCGCCTTTAAAGTTGTCGAAATTAAGTTCTTAGCAATGCATATTACTAATCAAAAATTAAGTTTTAATATATTTACGGTAGGAAATTTACAAAATATCTTCATGGAACTTGATCTTTACTTAATATCCTAATGATTTTATTTCAATAATTTTGACCCATACAATCTTTGTATTTGTATATTTTGGCTATTGCTACAAATATACCCGTGCTACTTATGACTGGTTTTGTGGTCCAGGGTCACATATATTAGTAACATCTTCGTTTATTCCTAAAACTATCATGATGAAGGAGAATTAGCTCATCAGTACAGCTGGAAAAAGCGCTGAGATTTTTTATGCATTTCATCATCCTTTCTCCATCATGGTTTGATAGACAGCCTTTGAAGCTCAGGACGTCCCGAGGCCGGTATCTCCACAGTCTAAACAAGCATTCACCTAGGAGCTCGTTGCCTGAAAACAGTGCTTGGGTCTGTTGGACATTAGAGAAACCAATATTTGGCTCCAGGACTGACAGTGTCCATCCAGCTCAGTGCCGTTTCTGTAAGATTATACTTTAAAAATAAGAGCGAACACACACATGCAGCACACACTCACCATGGCTAAGAAAGCCTCACAGCTTTGGCCATCAGGAGTGGACTGTGTGAAAAAGGTCCCAATGTGCAGAATTCTGGCCTTTCCAAACATAAAAGGAATTTCCTTTTTTTGCTCTTTACAGAAAAACTGAGCACACAGGAGAATGGACAGACTGAGTCAATGAGAGGTCAAGTCTTTCTGAAGTTACACCGCACTGGTGCCAGTTAAGTATATAGATTCCTATTTTTCCGGAGGGGGAGAAAAACTAAAAACAAAGAGGGAAAAACGGGTTGACATCCTTCAACAAGAAAGAACCTGTGTCAGAATGTTTTTTAAACATTTTATCAACTCCCCTCATGTTGTTCCAAACCTGTTTAACTTTTTTCCTCTGTAGAACATAGAAGATGACATTTTGAGAAAAGTATCTGTGTTTTTTGTAAGTCAATGGTATCCAAACTATTGGGTAACCAAAAATTTTCTTCAAAATATCTTCTTTTGTGTTCCACAGAAGACGGAAAGTCAACCAGATTTGGAATAACATGAGGGTGAGTACATTTCCAATAAGTTTTATTTTTGGGTGAATAAACTTTTAATGCAACATTAGACAGAAGAGGAACCCAAAAAGAGGTTTCCATTTCCTTGCTTTTTTGACACCAATGATGAATGTGAAAACTAAGCCAACTTGGGAGTTAAAATGGCTTTTATACAAACAATAGAGTGACAGAACAGAGTAAAAATATCTTTAAATGTTTTCATATTTGGAATGATCTACACTTCCTATCTCGAGACATTAAAAATGTGATTAATAAATGCTTTGAATTGATGACTTGATTAGAAACAACACTTTAAAATCATCATGTAGAGCACATTTGGTAGACATTTTGAGTTTGAGAAAGCACGATCAGCATCAGAATGAGATGAGATGAGCAAACAAGCATAATCAACACTGATCAGATCTGGTTTAACACTCATATATTTTCCTCCACCTCCTCATCATCATCTTCCATCATCATTACCATCATCATCAATGCAAGAGGCATCATAAAAAGTGAGAATGAATCCAAAACAAGACACGCATCATTTCCACAGAGGCAATTGGTTTGTCTCTGACGGCCTCTGAGGTGCAAGTGTTAACATCAGGCACCCCAGTAGTAGCTAGCACACTTCTGAGTCAACAGAGATGAATATGGTTGATTTGTCCCAAAAGAAGAAATAATAACTAGGGGGCCATAAGGCACTTCCATACAGTGACAGCCACATGCCCTCACACACGGGCTAGATTGTGCAACCCATGCGGCCGAGGGTCCTCATTCATTGGGGAAGAATGTGAATAGGTTGTTGTTTGTGATAGTAATGGCTGAGAAATAATAGCCAATGATCTAATAGTTCCTTCATTTTCTTATAAATGTGCATAAAGGCTTCAAAACCTGCTGTAGCTCACAACGTAATGAAGTTGCCATCCTCTCTCATACTTTCTTGGCTACTGCTCGTCTTGGTGGGGCTGCCGTTGTGTGTGGGTTTGGTCAGGGAGCTTAAAGAGCTGCTACTGGGCAAGGAAACACTTTGTGGGAGGGGCCTGTGCGCAAATGCACCCGACGACAGGGTGTTAGCATGGCTGCCATTGCCATTAGTCATACGGTGTGGCATGTACGTCGACAGGTTGTCGTTCTCGAGGATGAGGTCAGTATCATCATCACTGTCACCCTCAGCCACACTGTTGCTGTATTGGCTGGCATTCTGTGAGGCGGGGCTGGGGGCGGAGTCATGTGAGAGGGCGGAGCCTCCCGAGCCAGCGGAACTGTTGCCAGCAGATGTTTTACTCGCACGGTGCATCGTGTTGTGCACCCGCTGATTTGCAGGTTTCACTGTCACGATGAGGTTGTGGCTGTTAGCCACCATCATGTCGGTGACCTGGTCCAGTGATTTACCTGCCACATCGATACCGTTCACCTCAAGAATCTCGTCGTTGACTCCCAGCAATCCTGTGCTCTCTGCTAAACCGCCTTTTACCAGGCGGGAGATGAAGACGCCGGGAACTTTCTCTACCCCTTGGGGAGTGACGCGGACGCTGACGCCGTCTCGGATGTAAAAGCCGAGGGGTTTGTTGGTGCCGTGCTTGTGCAGACGGACACGGAGATGTGTCTCGGGTAAGATGTCCACATCTATGATAGAAGAGATCTGCCGGAAATCCTGCGGAAGGCCGATGAGCAGCGCAGGTTTGGACTTCTGCTTTGGTTGATGCAGACCAGCTAGGCCCTTTTTTCTTCTCTGAAGAGAGCCTGTTGGGAAGGGCACGGAGACATCTACATCTGTGGAGAGAGAGAAACTAGTTATTTATATTTATATAGAGAGAGAGGGGAAAAACATGTTGTGTGTGTGTATACATGTTGAATAATTACATTGAAATTAGTCATATATATGAATATTTGCTAAGAAAAAGACTACAACAATATTAAACCATTGATATTACAAATATGTGTGCACCAGCAGTCAACAGTAGGGAATAAATTAAGTTTATAAAACATTTTTGAAAGTCTCTTATGCTTACCAAGGCTATATAAATATTGTGAAATATTATTACAATTTAAAAGAACTGTTTTATATTTGAATATATTTTAAGATGTAATTTATTTCTGTAATGGCAAAGCTGAATTTTTATTAGCTATTACTGTAGTATTCGGTGTCACATTATCCTTCAGAAATCATTCTAATTTGCTGATTTGATGCTCAAGAAACATTTCTTACGAATATCAAAAACAATTTGTGCCGCTTAATATTTTCACCAAAACCATGCTATTTTTTTTTTCAGGATTCTTTGATGAAAAGAAAGTTTCAGCAGTTAATTGAAATGGAAATCTTTTGTAACATTAATCTTAGCCTCTACTGTCACTTTTGGTTAAATGAATGCATTCTTGCTGAAAAAAAAAAAAAAACCTTTCAAATAAAAAATACAAGTGTACAGACCCACCAATACATATATTACATTGCAGTCCTGGGAATAAACAAAAAATATGGTGCAAAAAAACTGAAATTGAATATAGACAGGGAACCTCATTTTGCTTCCCAGACAACATTTAAGGTGTCCTTAAGATTCAGCTGAACAAAACTGAGAGACTTGCTTCTTTCATCTCCTTCCATCCAATTCCTCCTGTCGACTGGCCTCATGAAGAAAGACTCTCCACCTCACAACTCCAAAATTAGCCCACTAAATTTAGAATGATCTACTGTATACACCACACTGGCATAAAATAATGTTCCCTGTTACTAAAAATGAATTCAAGGAGATACAAAGCGCCTCGCTGTGATTCACCATCTGTCCTCAGTATCACATCACCATGACCTCATTTAGAAAATTGATCCCCGTAAATCAAATTTAGATTTATTATTTTCAATGTTCTCTGAAAGAATTCAATATGACATTGATTGCTGAATGTTTATATCGAGCAATAAGGTTGGAAAAAAACAAGAGACCCGATCATAATAAAACCAAGAGGCAGGAATGGATGGATGAACAAACAAGGATTGTAATAAATCTGTCCAAGGCACTTGCAATAGGACAAAGGTCACGAGACGGAATCAGATTAAAAGGCAGATTAATCAAAGCCTCTCTCACAGCACATTATATTCACTGTTCAGAAGATCCAAACAATCACAGCTGATATGTCTGACTAGAAAAAGGAAAAAACAAGACTTGCTTTAGCCGATGAGCAGGTAACGGAGAACAGAGAGCCCTCCTGACAGGAATCTGGTGGGAGGTAACATGCGTCAGCAGGGAGAATGTTTTTGGTTATTTTTAAACTGCGGCAAGGGTTTTGTGCGTGGGTCTTTGCGTAGAGGTCTTTTTGTGATTATGAGAGCACAGCCTTCTGGGAGTGGAAATAGCAGGAAGTCATCAACACCTTCCCTTCAGTCTGCTGACTAACATTAAACTGTGTGCGTGTTCTGCAGTGCGCACATCTAATTCTATAGTTTAATAATAAACATTCTTGATGTTTACATGTTCAGAAGATTTCGGGGTGTCCTGAGTGGTTGCCAGGGCATTGTTCTACGGTTATACTAAGGTTGCTACACAGTTGCTAGGTGGTTATTTACTGGTCCAAGTCAAAAGAGCTCACCGGCAAGTCTGTATATGTGTTTATCCAAGTTGCAAATTCAATTTATGTGAAAAAAAAAAATCGCAAAAAAAAAAACATTTGTGAATAAGATCCCATGTTTTCAAGAGAAGCAAATCATCACTTTCTTGGAAAACTGCTGCAAAATAGAAATGAAACTAGCTTTTTGTAAAAGAACAATAAATAAATAAAAATAAAATACATAAAACAATTATGTGAGGTTTATAGCTTACAGACAAATGCATACATTAAAGTCTTTTTTAATGTATCCACCTTAAGTGAGCGAGCGTACACCTTATGTATTATTTGAAAATGTATTTGTATGTTGGTGTTTCCATCCAGCTTTTTTATGTAACATCCTAAAATATGCATAGAACGGTAGGGATGGCAGTGTTATTTTATTTATATACTATTATAGTATGGTAACACTTTAGAATAGGGAACACTTATTCACTATTAACTACGACTTTTCCCTCAATAAATTCTTAATTTGCTGCTTATTAATAGTTAGTAAGTAGTTGTTAAGTTTAGGTATTGGGTATGATTAGGGATGTAGAATAAGGTCATGTAGAATCAGGCATTAATATGTGCTTAATTTGTACTAATAAATGGCTAATATTCTAGTAATATGCATGCCAATAAGCAACTAGATAAGAGACCCTAAAATAAAGTGTTACCTATAGTATTTATTTTTAGTCAGATATACATATTTTTGGTTTTAATTTTAATTTTGTCTTTTTATTAGTTTTTAATTTTTTACATTTCTATTTAGCTTATTTTATCTTTTATCTATCTTTTATTTCTTTTATCTAAGTTTTAGTAATTGTAGTACTTCAACTATAACATTTTATTTAGTTTGCTAATTGTTTACTTTTTTTTTTTAGGTTTTTCATATTTATATTTATATTTTATTTCAGCATTATTTCAATTAACAAAAATGATTTTCAGTAGCTTTTGTTTTAGTTTCAGTTAAGAATAACAACACTGGTGGATGGAAACCTGGCTAGCGATATTCGTGTCCCACACTATGGCGCAAGTTCCTTTTTTCATCTGCCAGGCATAAATCCTAAATCTGATCACTTAGAAAAGTAATAGCAAACCTCTCCTCAACAAGTCACATAATCCATAGCATGAACTGCGTACAAACTTTAGCTTAATAGCAATGCAAATCTTGGTAGAGCATCATGCTTATCTCACAAATCTCCAACATCTGAAAATGCGTTTCTTGGTTCAATAGAATTTCAAACCATCTGTGCCATCTGAAAGAAAAGGCCCAGCATGCACCTCAAGAGGAGATCACATTATGGGGATTATATTAATTAGTAGTTTGACAACAGGCCCTGGTTTGTCTTAAGATCCACGAATAGTAGATTAGCAACTCACATCTAATTAATTACCATCAGGCCCCAGGGGCCTGCATGTGGACGGGGTGATGGGCGGTGAACTCTGACCCCTGTGCTCATATGGAGGGATATGTTGAGCAGAAGAAGGCAAAAACAATAGAGATGCACAAACCATTGTCTGTGCATGTGTGACCTCATATTTAATCTGCATAAATGTGTAAATATTTATCCAGAGTGCAGACGGTATCATCCATTGCATGTGACGTCTATGTCTTATATAGTATGCAACACACAGCACCCCTCTCCCTGTCCCACTACATTAGTCTGGTGTCTGGACCCCTACAGAAATCAGGACAGCCTCTGTTATTAAACCTGCTCACGGGCTGGAGAGCGAGACGGGGTGCCCAGGGAGGGTGAGTGGGAGGCAGAGCGGGATCTTGGCAGACAGGCGGGTCAGAGATGGGCATAACGGACTGGCCTTAGGCTTTACAGCAGGCCCAACAACCCTCCCGGTTAATACTAACTCCCAACCCTGCCCCCGAAATGATCATTCTGTGTTAAGACGTACAAGTGCTAATTTCTGTGGGTGGTGCGTGTACATGAGGTCCGGGAATTGTATATCTCATAAACATTACTTATTAGTGAAATGACGTGATGTATTTCTTAGAGATCAGAAGCTAATGCATTGAGCTCTCAAGGATGATTAAAAGACAACATCCCCTTAGCAATCTCTCTCCCACACACATATTCACACAGACAAAATGTCCAAGGCTTTTGACTGTGACGAAAATGTTCATAAACACAAAAAATAAATAAATAAAAAAGAATCTATGACAATTTATATTCTAGACAGTCGGTACAAGCTTGTGTGTTCATATGCAGTTTGTGTGCATCTTTCATCATCTTGTGTGCCGCTATTAGTTATAAACACATTGAGAGCTGTGATGTCCGATTCACTAACAAATGACTCTTATGAACCAGTTCTTTTCAATGAGTCAATCAAAAAGATTATACAGCAGTTTGAATCAGACTCGCTGACTGAGTAAATATAATTCAAAACCGTTTCATCCATCACTAAATCACAACTCATTTTTGTTTAATTCAGAATTAACCAAGAGCAACTGATTATAATTAGAAATGCATGCTTGTTTGCATTGAATTTGCACTGTAATAAATGCATTTTTAAAAACATTCAAATATTTTACTAAAATACAGTGGTGTAATGTAACAAAGTAATAATACTTCGTTACAGTACTTAAGTATATTTTGGGAGTATCTGTACTTTACTTGAGTTTTTATATTTCAGCCAACTTTTACTTTTACTCCACTACATTTCCTAATTAAAATGTATACTTTTACTCCGATACATTTCCCCGAAGCATATTCGTTACTTACTACAAAATAGTCAGAAGTCAGAAGAACACGGAAATTGTAGATGGCAAAAATGCTTCTGTATGCTTTTTATATTTATATAATTAGTTAACTTAATCTATAATCACACAAAGAGTACCGTTTTTCTGCAGATATCAGCATGAACATATTTAATAATCATTTCATACAAGTACAGTAAAGCAATAAGTGGCTTACATTTTAGACATAGTATTGCTTGTTTTTGCTCAATTTTGCTAACTAATATAGCTCCAAACAAAGATCACAGCACTGTTTTGCATCTCTGAGCAAAGGACGGTGTTTACTTATTGAATGAATCAGCTTTTTGAACGAATCAGTTGAATAAATGATTCAGTGATTCACTCATTAACACAGTCAAATACTTTGTTCCTGAATGAATCAGTCGTTTGAATGAATCGGTTGAATCTCAATGACTCACTCATTAACAGTCACTTGCTGTCACCT